TTCGGCTGATTCTTTAAAAAGTTGTTGAGGATTGCTAGTTTGGCTGCTTCTTTGCCTTTTTCTTTTGTTTGTTGTAGATTTTCCATTAAAGAAGCATCAGTAAAGCAATTTTAAAACTTTTACTGGAAAACTGAAGTGATGCATTCTGGGTACATGACGGATTTGATTTGTGATGGGAAACGAAAGTTTTCCATGTAGTTGCTCCATTTGACCACTAGATGTCTGTCTAGCCCCGTTGGTGGATTGCTTCGACCAATTATGTGAAGTATTGAGCTCCAGCGTTCAAACTTTATTTCTTTTAAAAAAGGAGCTCTGATTGTAAAGTAAAATGAATCAATACATACAAAATTTTAGTATGGATTACAAACTTTAACTGTTTTTGCTGGGAAAGGGAGTTCTAAACATTGCCTTCCTGCTATGTAAGCAGACACAAAGCATTGTGGGAAATGAGAACCNAAGCACATGGCATGCTGAGTAATAATAATAAAGTTTCTCATATCTTGTCAATACCTCGCTGGATGTCTTTATAGGTCGACATCACTGCTGTGAAGTTGGACTTACTCCTACTCGGTGAACGCCGCCTCACACAGAGCCATCTCAGCCTCCTTGAGTGAAAAACAATATTCTCTGCGGTTCTGCCTCGTCTTCCTCTCATACTGAGCTCATGTTTGAAGACTATTGTTTTGGCACGTTTGCCAAAACCAAAAAATAAATCCTACAACCACTAAAATCTGACGTCACTCCATGTTTGTTTACATTTTGTGAAGAAGGAAGTGGCGCTCCATATCTTCTCCTGTGGTTTTTATGTTGATTCCTTCAGTGGTTCGTGGTGCAGCACCCCCACAGGTGAGGGAGAGGAACAGGTTGTTCATAGGATTTGGTTTGTTTGATAAAGTGCAGTGTGAATATGAACTGCACCAACTGAAAATGTAAACAAATCTTGCAATTTTGGTCCCCAATCGAACAGAGTCTACCGGACTATCAGTTATGAATACGACCATAGTTTCTGCTTGCAGTATTTTGCTTTTAAAGCACACCTGTCAAACTCAAGGCCCATGGACCAAATTTGGCCCATGGGCAACTTCCATCAAGCCGTCAGAGAGCAACCCCCCACCCCCATATACACAATTTTTCTTTTTTTTCACTAATTAAAAAATTTAATTGTAAACTTTCAGTTTATTCAACGCAACAAAACAAAATAAATTTAAAAGATGACAGATGATAATACTTGTCTGACCCCTGAGCTGTTGACTTTGAGTAACTGTGCCCCCCTGAGCAATTTAGTTGAATATCCATGTATTATTGTCTCAAAATAGGCTACTTTTGAAGCCAGCATTGACTGTAAACTGCATCTCTTATGCATGTTGATTATTCGTGGGAATTCCCTGTTGGAAAGTGGGAGAGTTCAGAATTCAAGATGGCGGCTACTCACCACAACTCATCAGTGAGTAAATCTCTCTTATAGTATTTCTTTAGTATTTATTTCACATTTAGTAAGTTGTACACTTAGTAATGTTCAGCGTTTACGAGAAGGATGTGTTAAAACACTGTTTCTGTGCAGGAAATACCAGGTAGAGCTCAGTTAGTGTTTGTTAGCGGGGATCAGGAACGTGATGATTTAGTCAATGTTAAACACGAAACGTTGAAGTTTATTACAGATGGACCTCGGTGAAATGAGTTTGACACCTCTGCTCTGTAAGTACCTGGTACACATTCAGTAAGTACCAAGTACACACACTTTTAATTTTAGGTACCAGGTTGGTACAGTAYAGCTCAGAACCTTGTGTGACTCCAWCAAAGTGACAGAGAAGCAGAACAACAATAACTATGATAAAAGTACATAAAAACACACACGCAAAAACATTTCTGCAACCCAACACGTATTTTGACAGCAGCGTGTCAGTACCTTCGATCGGTTTGGCTCCGTCCACGATCGTTTCCAGTACAATGAAAAAGAAAAAAAAAGCTTATTTACATTTCAGTGACCTGATCACAACTGGCAAACGTATCCCTCCACTTTGCTTTTTGTGGTTAGCTGGCTCCTTTCTRTGAGCTGAAGGGGTATTCATCATGGTGCGCAGCGGTCGGAGCCCGACCGAGTTGCACAAGCCCACATTTGTACACGTTAAGTCAACAAGCCGGAGCGTTCGAGCCAAGGAGCTGACATTAGGGTACCAAGACTAAACATGCGCTCACAAAGAGGCCATGTGTTCCTGAGCGTTCGTTGTTTCGGAATTAAATTCTCACCTTCTTTACGCGGCGCTTTTGTGGTCAATTTATCGTGTCTTGAGCCTGAAAAAAAAAAGAGAAAATGACAGAATCATAAAAAAATCAATCACACTTAAGTTTTTATTGTGAAAACAAACAAATATAAGAACCTGTGGGTTTTTTTTAATTTTTGTATACTTTTCTTGCAATAAAACTACTTTCACGTACTTTAGCTGCTCATTTACTAAAATATTCAGCTTATTCAGCGACATAAAATGCCTCATTATTCAATCATTTAAAAAAACATTGCCTGCTTTGAAATCTGCTTCATCAAATTATCTTTGTTTTGTTTTTTATGGTCGTTTTAGATTTTAGCTATTTTTCTTCCACTTTTAGCTGTTAGCTACAGTTACTTTTAGTTTTTATTTATTATTTCTACCCTTTTGCTACACTAAACCTTTAGTTAGCATTTTGCTCATTATTTGCTCATTGCTGCTTAGCTAATTTTAGCATCATTTTTGCTAATTTTAGCAAATTTTTGCTAATTTTAGCAAATTTTTCTTGTTTTTAGCCTCAGTTTAGCTACTTCTGTGCCACCTTTAGCTTTTGTTCTGCTTCAACTTTTCCAATTTTTTTCAGCAAATTAAAGTCAAGATGTTCAGCGCTCAACATTCATGCTGCTTTTATTTCTCTTGTTTGCTCGAATGCATCCTAATTGAGAAGTAAACAAAACTACGACCCAATTAAAGGTGGAAAATTGATTGAAACTCTTCGGCTGCAGCGAGCCAGCAGCCGAAACCTCCCATGCAGTCAGAGAATCACAGAGATGACATGTGGCTTTGGTTAGTTTGTTGTACGGCAGAGACCGTCCTCCAGGAACGTTTACAGGAAAACTTCAGGGATTTTCACTGGTTTGTTTAGACCGCAGCCCAGTGGCTCCAGTTATGATCGGTTCTGGGGTGGCCCTTTAAAACCCTGAGACCGCCGGTCTGGTCCGGTCCAGACACCAGGACCCGGACGGTTTCTCACAGGACTGAAGATCAAAATGATCATCAGTGTTGAACCAAGCCATCGAACGTCACCCACCTTGACATCGAGGTTTTTTATTGGCCACAGCTGAGCCGCTGATGGGCCGTCCGTTCGGCGTCACGCACCAGCAGTAGCCGGTGTAGCTGTGGCACTGAACCTGAGACGGCAGAAACACAAAGTTAAATCTGTAAAACTTTAATTACAAAACTTAACTTCTTTACACAAATACATCAAGATGTTTCCAAATTCATCAAAACATTATTCTCTGAAATCCATTAAGGCTAACTTGGTCTTAGGCTACATTTAGCTTTTAGCTACAATTTTGCTACATTTTTTAGCCACTGTTTTGCAACATTTAGCTTTAGTTAGTTTTAATAATTTTAGCTATGGATTTTGTTATGTTTAGCTTTTAGCTACTGTTATGGATTAATTATGTATATCTGTTCTACCTTGACACTGTCCGGTTACCATATCTTCTTATAACCAGTTTTCGGCTGCTAATCTGTTTTGGCCCAGACAACAGGACTCCAGCGAGAGACTTGACCTCTCTTGTTTGATAAGAAACTCTTTGAGCTGAGAGCTCTGTGATTGGCTGGGCAGTACAAACACAGGCTTTTTGACAATCTAAACAGCTTGTCCACAAATATAAATAC